CAGCATCAGCAATAGCAAATATATGTGGTGGTCTCTCGAAAATTTCTCGTCCTTGATAATTATTGATGTAATCTTGTCCATAGATATTCATAGTTCTGTATGGATTTACAGATACACATACTTCGCCTATGTAAGTATAAATATGGCCCGCATTATAACTGTAAAGGAAGGGGAGGGGGAATATAAAATCTAATTAATTATCAGGTACCAGATTATCAATGATACAATGCAAAAATAGTAATAATATTGTCAATAATTTTTACACAAATTTGTATTACAATATATTTTACAATAATTACAAAAAAGCTTTTTATGCCTAAATTTATATAAAAAAATATTAATTAAAAATTCATTTAAACTTATAGATTGCGTTTCTTTCTCTTACAACTCAGAATAAATACATTCTTACGAGGTATTAAATCATTTAAAATTATTTGTTGCACTTATGTCACGCGAAAAATTGCAGAAATTTGAAAACTGACCAGAATATTTAATACTTTACTTTAAGGATCCTTATTTAATATTTCTTTCACACACACAAAAAAAACACTTAACTATAAAACAAATAACAACTACTTCTATTATTAATATTGCAAAAAGTAAAATGAAAAAATCTTAACCAAAACCTTATTCTCTGAAAATAAGATAATGAAAATGGCTGCAATAAACAGACAATGAAAAATATAAAAGAGGTAACATTTTATCTCTAGAAATATGCATTCATATTTACCAAAAAATACTTGGATTTGAAGTCAAGCTTTCAATCATTTTTACATAAACATTTATCAATAATCCAAAGAAATATTTATTTTATTCAGAACAACAAGAGGTTATAGCAGAGATTTATTATGATACTAATCATTCTCAATTCATCTGGAAAATTCTTTGGGCCAGATTTATTCAATCACGCCCTCTATAATTATAGAAAGGATAGGTGAAGCAACAGCTTCATCCCCGAATATCGAATCTGTGACGTAGACATCGGTTTGCACATCCGGAAAATTTCTTGGGGAAAAGTATGAATGCACAACCGCTAAAGCCAGTTTTTAAAAAAGTTTTGAGATGATGTTAAATTGAAAGTATGAAATCTATAACTGCAATCACATAAATTTAAAAATGTTTCTAAAATCGCAATATTTTCTAGACTTCATAACTTTTCCAGAAGAGCAATGGGTTTATATAACCAGAAAGATGCCTATTCTAAAATTTTCCACAACAAATAACAAGAGCAACAATAAAAATCGAAGCTTGAAAAGTCAATCTGATGTGATGTGTCGAATCGGAGAGCCAAATGAAACTCAAAGTGTCATGTTTAGAATAAAGAAATTAAATGCCGCATTAACATTCAATTTTAATGTGAAATTAATTAAACAAGAGTAAATATTTTCTCTTTTTATAATCCCCATATTAAAGATTTAAAAACTGTAGAATAAAGGAGCATGTCATATATATATATATATTCCATTGCTCTAATTCGTTCATTATAAAGTTTTGATTGTACTTTAATATTCATGGGGAATTTATAAAAATGTATAGAATGTGACTAATTTTTTCTTCCCGATTTTCTCATTCGCTACAAAAAAATTAGACCTTTGCTTACTGCACTTTTCATATGATGAAAAAAAAAGGGAGAGGTAAAAAAAAAAAAAAAAGAAAAATAACGTAATTACGATAATAAAAAATTAAAAGCACATTTTTTAAAAAAAATAAAGATTTATTAGATAATTAGTTTCTCTCTCTCTCACACACAAATGTATATATTAAATTACGTAAATTGTAAACTAAGTAAATCAGAGCTTGTTCCTTATTCGATAATAGTATTCATTGATGACGTCAACTTTCGACCGATGGATTATATATGCATAATACTTATTATTTTTTTTTCATTTAAAATGTAATGTTTTGTTATGTATATTTTACAAATCTGTTTTATTATTAATACTGTTGAGTTGATGATAAAAATGATATTTTCATATATATATATATATGGTAGGGTCAAAAAGTTTTCGGAATAGGCCAATTACAGATTATAAAAAAACAGAACAATAATTTAATGTTATTGGTCTTCAAAGTACTGCCCTCCTTCATCCACACACTTGGGTTCCAGCGTTAGTATAATTGCTCAAAACACTCCTGGAATTCGTTTTCTGTGAGGTCCTTCAGTTGCCTCGCCGCATTTTGGATCACCTCATCTAAATCTACAAAACGATGTCCCTTCAAATTCATTTTTAGCCGTGGATATAAGTAAAACTCCTCTGGTGCTGGCAACAGTGGCGTAACAGAGAATATTAGGCCCCCTTGCAAAGTCAGCTTTTGGACCCCAAGTCCTAATACGTACTCAACATCAGTCAGGCTTTGGGCTCCATAGAATTCCTTCCCCCGCAATGCGGGGGTATACATTACGCCACTGGCTGGCATCGTATCAGTGCTGCCACCCCCAGAAAGAGATACTTCTCCTCCAACGAACACTTGTGTGAGTGAGTGAATATTAACGTCGCACTGTTCAACCAATATGAGGGCTTTTGGCGACGAACCTCGTAATTTTGAGCCATGATCAAGTGACGAGGACGACACCTGAGGTGGCACCCCACACCAACGGGCGGACGTTTGAGCTCTTGACAGATTAAACGTCCATCGCTCCCCTCTAAACGGTGGGTCTTCAACGATACTGGGCTGAAATTCATGACACACCAGCCACGAGTCCGATACCTTGACCACTTGGCTACCGCAGCCACTGAACACCTGTGTGAATGCAGGTGACCATTCCGAGAACTTATTGACTCTAGTAGTATTTCGCCAGTTTTTCTACATAAATGTCCAAGTCCCAAATATAAAAAAACCCTCCCATTATTTATTCAAACATACTGAAATAAACTAAGACTGATTCTTTCTATTAATCGAAAATTTAATATACAAATATTTGCACATTATGGTACAAAAAGCAATAAAAAAACAGTGGCAATTACCTGGGAAATTAAAGGGGAGAGGGGAATAGAAATTGAGCAATGAGTGAGGGTTTGTGAACCTCGCACTATAAAACAACACACGGGCTATCGGCGACAGACCTGTAATTTTGAACCTCGATCAGTGACGAAAACGACACCCACGCCGTCTATTCCCACTACAAACAACGCCAACGGGAGAACTTCGAGCCATGACAATTTAACGTGAATCATAGCTCCTCTAGACGATGGGTCTTCAAAGGCACTAGGGCTCGAACTGACACGCCAGCTACAAGGTTAATATAGATGTAGCAACTGTGTGTTATAATTTTATACAGTAATCATTGATGAAATGGTGCTTACTATTTCACTGAATGAAAATTTTGTCAAACATTTTAAATAGTAATCGTACAGTTTGTTAGTCAAGTGAGTGAGTTAATATTAACGTCGCACTGTTCAGCTACACGAGGGCTTTTGGCGACGGACCACGTAATTTTGAACCATGGTCAAGTGACGTGGACGACACCTGAGCTGGCACCCCCCTCTCCTAACTACCACACCACACCAACGGGAGGACGTTTCAGCTCTCGACAGATTTAACGTGCATAGCTGCCCTACACGGCGGGTCTTTGGTGGTACTGGGATCCAACTCATGACATGCCTGCCATGGTTGGATACCTTAACCACTGGGCTACCGCAGCCCTTGTTTGTTAGTCAAAAAGCTTTCACTAGGATCCAACAATTTCATCTAATTGCAAATGGAGTGAATTTAACAAATTTCCAATTAAAATCAAAATGATTCATTTGATTAGCTTTGCTTTTATGTATTAGCAGACCACAGAGCTGGAAATAATCATAAACATGTAATATGAAGCAAATTTTTTTAAGTAAATTCCTACTTAGGCCAACAAAGAAAAATTTTATTTTATTTACTTTTTATATATTAGATAGTTGCAATTAATATAAATATGTATATACATGTAGGATTTTCCCTTTGAAACATTTTGTTAAAAGATTGAGTCATATCCTTTTCAGAGGACCATTAACGTCAATTTTATTTATTACTACATTCCGAAGCAGCGCCGTCTAGTGAGCTTTCGTAGCTCCGGCTTGAATAATTTTTCGAGAGAGGCCTACTAACCACCGCCGGTTCAACACGTCACGTTTTTAGCGCATTTCGCGCCCTGCGTGAAATCAGTCCTAACGTCCAAGCATGAGAAAGGTAATTAATTTCCCCGTCTTCTAAAGGTATAACTCAACTTTCAATTAACCTAATTTCTGCATGTCTTTCTCTTTGTAAATATCCCCTTTTGTAAATATTTCCCTTTAACTTTAAATAAATTCTTTTTTACTTAAATGAAGTATCTGTGTTTAAATGACTTTGATTCAATTAATTCATCACTCACCCTTAAATACGTACCCCTAGACAAGCCACCTCGCCAATCTAAAATCCCGCCTTCTGAAGAGTGATTTTTATTCGAAGATTTATTCGGACTCCCACATACATGACATGTTTCAAGTCAGAATCAGATTTAATTTTTAAAAAGAGGATCTTTATTCGATAAAATCTAAACAAGTTCTGACGCTGAGCGGAGAGAGAAAAAGAACGCCACGGGGTGTTTTAAGTTTTAACCCACTTAAAACACAGATGTAGTAAGTATCACGGCTTTTATGAGTGTACTTGAAAGTTAATGCCGACATATGTTCTATTAAATCTAACGATCTGGAATTAGACATCTTTATTGGCTAGGCCATATGTTCGGAAGAAATAAATGGGTGATTAGTTTGATACTTGAAGCTGAAATGAAAAAAAAAAAAAATATGAGTTAAGTGCTAGATAGGGAATTTAATTTTTAATCTAATTTACTTATTTTTACATACACATGACAGAATCACAATATTAAGTGACAAAATAAAGAGATTTTCCTTGCAATTTTTCATTTTCCTTTCTATATAGGGTGTTGGACAATTTTTTTTTGTTTCTATTTATTCATTAATTAAATTTTATTATTCTGATCTAGTATGGTAAGAAAGAAATCATATTCTCAGAAATTAGGCCATCCCAAGTGGGATTCGAATCCACGACCTTTGGATCAGAAGTCCAAGGTGCTATCCATTGTGCGACAGGGACACAACTAACGATTTTCCTTTCTATATATACTGTTGGACTGTTATTTTTGTTGGTTGTTATTTATTCATTTTTTTTAATTTAATTAATGTTTGAGAAAACTGTATTAACATCAAGTGTTATCCACTACAAGTTTAGAAAAATGTATTTTTGAACTTGAATGGATGAATAGAAAGTATTTTATTCAAGATTGAAAATTTGAACAAGAGGGAGAGAGTGAACTAATAGTAGGAATTAAAACAGAAGGAAGGGGGAAAGTGGCTCAACCACAGTTCTTATATATTCGTGTTTCAATTCTACTTTTTAAAAAAATCTGTTTCTACGAATTCCTAAACTGCAGTTTTTCACAAGAAAACAATTATTCTTATTATTCATATTTATTTTTAATCAACTAAAAACAGAAAATATGAATCCTTCTTTAGTGTATTTTTATACTGAAAGTTATATCAACGTAAAAATATTAACGAAGAAATTTTAAAAAAATGAAAAATTCGAGAAAGAATCCTATTAAGAGCAACAGTATTAAATGAAAGTGACTGATACCAGAATTTTCTCCCCCCCAAATAAGAAAATTTAGAACGAGTTCATTATGAAAGACCAGGCCGCTGCTGCGAACTTACCAAAAACGAAAAGCAAACTGAAAACACGAAACTGGTCTAATCCCTTTTTTCAAATCGCAAGCGAGAGTGACGGTAAACGGGTCACAGGACGACTAGGCGAATAACCCTTTCATGTTGTTTAACGAACACACGCACAGTTTCTACGGTCTATGAAATCAGAGATGTTTCATCGTAACCTACACTTCCTATGTAGTAAAAATGTATGAGAGTACAGCATTCACACTATTGTAGCAATATTTAATAGTCAAAAATAAATAATTATATTAACAAAAATTAAATGTCAGAAAATAATTCATTCCATCCCGTAACAAATTACTGTATTTTAATGACCACCAATCACATAAGCAAAATAATGATAAAATTCTTGAATCCATCTGCTATCTGTCAAATGGATTGTTGGATTTATATTTCATAATTAATGCTTAACTCTTTTACAACTAAGGGAAACATTTTAAAAAATTTAAACCCTTTTAAAATTGGTGATTGTCGCGAGAGTAATTATAACAGTATCACTATTTTTTTTTAACAGAATGTCAAAATCGAACATACAGGTATGTTGAATGCAATTACATAAATGAGAACGTTTGGGGACGGGGATGTCGAATCAATACCCGCCAATGATAAAACATTTGCGGGCTGTATTCTTATTATTTCAGTGTATTGTGTCGGGTAAACTAATACCTTATTCAGATATCGCATGTTTTATGTTATTCGGTAAGTATAATTTCGCGCAATAATTAAGTATATTTGAGCACATGAAAACAAATGTTAAGATATACTATACATTGATCCAATTTGAACTGGCACATTGATTAAAAAAACTACACTTTATGTATTTTTCTCATGACTGTTATTTAAAACAAACAGTGAAATAATACTATTTACTCTTAGCAACCTAATTGTCCTATGAGGGTTAATTTTGCTAGCAGAACCATTAAATATTTTAAAAAGAAAAAAATGCATTTGTATTTCATGCAAGCATTATTTAGTTTCAGTCGAATGTTCCAATCTATGGGTAGAAAAAAAAACATTACTTCAAAATATCGCATCTTTCACTTAAATGCAATATTAATTAATCACACTTGAAACAAGGGGGTAGAAACAGAACAGGAATAATATGCAATTACAATAACATAATATTTTCCAATAAAAGTTAAAACGAGATAAATTACATTAACCTGTTTTGCTCATAGGACGAATTTTGCCAAGTATTCACGGATGGCGCTTGGATAATGAAATGACTCATGAAAATATACATTTTTTATACAGTCTCATCAACTTAACACCCTACAAAAAATTCCTATAATAAAACATTAAAATTATTTTGAATCTCTTTTACAATGTTGGTGTCACGTTATTAATAAATTATACCGATTAAAATATTACATTTAGTAAATAGAATAAAAAGCTACTAAAATGTATTGTATCTTTTACGTCTGGTTAACAGAAATTTGACAGTTGGATAAAAAAAAAAAAAAAGGATTAGATGTTTTGGTAAGTGCTTTGGAGTCATTCACTAAAAAAAAAAAAAAAAAAAGCGTTAAAATGATGAGAGAAAAAAAATTAATCTATATTTTAAGCTCCACTTTAAATAACTAGTAAAAATTTTTTAAAATTAATATTTCCAAACAGAAAAATCTTTTCATCCATAGAGGCGCCAAAATTTTGGAGCGTTGAATGAAAGTCTATTCTGAATTTTATATACACTTATCTTTTTTGAGTTTTTGAAAATTTATGTTTTCTGACCAAAATACAAAATTTTCAAAAAGTACTTTTCTTATGTGTAAACAATTTCACATATTTTAAGACGTAATTTTTTTAAGAACCGTTCTGGCTTCAGATGTTGTAAATGGAGCAAACAGATGTAATATAATGAATACAGACATGCAATAATCCACGATTCATACTACATTTTTTATATTAATATTATTATAGATGCACGGGGTAAAACAGGAAAAATTGGAATACTTAAATAAACAATACAGAAAGTTAGTTATGAGATTACATCTTTCAGAATCTCTGTATGAAATAAATTAAATAAAAAATACTTTGTGGGAAGAAGACGCCACACAAAAATCTTAAAAAGTTTTGAAAAAGGACATTTTGATGCACAAAGACATTTACTACGTTAAAAAAAATTTAGAACTAAACAAAAGCTATTGAACGGGGATATAAATTCATCTTGATATTTTCAATTTAACAGCTATACCTCAACTGTTTGTTTTTAGAAACGTTCGCCAGGTGTCACTGTTCTTATTATAGATTGTCGTAACTTTATAGAAATAAAAGAGGAATTAATATATAAATATAAAAAGCAAATTACTATTTAAAAAATTCGACAGTAGAAAGTACTGTTGAGAATGTTGAAAAATAATTTGCAGCCAATTCATTCATAAAGGGGTAAAAAGAATCACAACTATCTATTGAACTCGGAAATTAGCGAACTAAAATTAGCCACCGGAAGACAGCGGGCACATGCAACCGACCACATTTTGACCTACTGACACGAAACAGGAGCAGAAAGAAAAAGTAAAATTTTTTTTACTATATCCACACAAATTTAAACATTGCTGTTAATTAGTGAATTGTTTTAAATAATCTTAAATAATTGTTTAAATAACCTCAGAGTAATAGCAGAATCTTGCAAGCTCTGTAAAGTACAAACATAATTATCGATTGGCATCATCAATTTGTTTTTATCGTGTGTGACGCTTGAACTGTTCGAATTCCAAATTCGTTTCTTGAATTTAAAAATTTATTTTTAGAATGAATTTCATGGTATTAATCAGTTTAATTCTTTGTATATTCTTTTTGTGATATATTTAAGAGAAAGGAGGTTTTATATATATTTCACAACTGGCTTCGAAACAAATCTACATCCAAAATAGGATATTTAAGAACGGTTCTTACGTACTATCGTTACAATGCCAACCTTCAAGATAACTCGCAAAGTTGGCAACCCCGATTTTGCACGAATCATACGCGCTGAATTGACAACCATGTGCTTCACACACACACACATTCCATATAATGTGGCCAACAAAAGAACAGATAACCTATAATCGTCTCCCTCGCTATTCCAAATCTAACAGTTAAACGAATGAGTGAGTGTTTTATATTTTTTTAAAGTTGCACTATAAAGCAACACAAGGGCTTTTGAAGACGGGCCTCGTTTTTTTCAACCACAGTCAAGTGACGAAGTCGACACCTCAGTCTACTAACTTCCACACTACGCCAATAATGTGTATCAATCATACTAAACGAGTCCGTGACGATCAGCACTGAGCTACATTGGTCCCTAAAAGACACATTAAGTGCAGTTGAAGCTCTTAAAAACTTAAGAAACAGAATACTATTTCTGTCTTGTTTAATGGAATGAACCCCCATACCTCTTCTTTATGAAATTTATTTCACGAAATTATTATCAGATCAATTTAATCATCTACTAAGTATGTTTTCAAAGTGTTTCATATATTTAAAATTATAGATCTGAAATCTTTTGGCTGAAAAGAGATTGGATGACAGAGGAAAATTATATCCACCAGTGGAAAAACAATTCAGAATTTTCACGAAATGTTTATAAAATTTCCTTTTATTTAACTTTGAAATACATTACTTTTATAATTATTCAAATTTCAAATATTTTAAACAAATCTGCCCAATTTTAAGATGAGCTTGCCAATTATGAAATTATAAATTTGTGTTAAAAATTATTTCGCGATTAAAATCATTTTTAATTTATTTAAATGTTTCATAAGCCATTAAGAATTTTGCTATAATGATATATGCTAATTGCTAACCCTTATATTTTATAACGACCTTTATCTTCGCGAACTTTTAATTATAGATCGAATTTATATATATTTAAGCATTTCTCTTCTTTTCACTCTTTTACAACCAAAAATTAAAGCGATGAAGTACTCAAAATCATGTTTGTTTTTAGGATTGTAACTTTTGTACAGGAAAAACACAAACTCCTACCACGAAAATACTACAAAAGGTTTAAAATCGGGATTTTTTCAGACAATAAGAAAAGCAATAAAAAAATGAGACGAATAAAAATTCTCATTCCATTGAAAAATGAGACATCGTCTGTTACACAATTTCTTGAAAATATTGACAGAAAATTGACAAAAGTTAGCTACACGTACGACATCAATTTCCTTTGTCATGCGGATGTTGATGTCGTTAAAGTGATGATAATCAACTTCAGGATACGTTAGGGAAATTAGGTAAATTGTAAAACTAATAAATTATATAATGCTACACAAAAATTTTAAGAAAAAAAAACTGTGCATTCTGAATTAAAAATTTTTGTACTGAGTTTGAGGAAGAATTTAAATAAAATATTACACATAGTTAAACTTGTGCAGCATACAGTTA